GGTGCGCCGGAAGGCTAAGACGGCAGTGTATGCCGTGGTGACAGGCGGAATGTATGATTGGTGATGAGAGCATGCTGATGTGGCATTCGGCTGAGGTGGCACTGCATTGCGTTGTGGGTGGTACCGAGGCCAAGACCGGTCATCAAATGCACACTCAGCTCAATTGGTGAGAAATCTGTGGTTGGGGGTAGCTATCTCCAGGTACGTTGTTCCCTTACCTTATCTACCCTCTCAATCTCTTCTTACCGTGAGGAAGTGAGTCCAACTTGAGAGTCCTCTCTTTTGGTCAGGTGTCGTGAGCGCGCTACCTTGAGAGACGACAATCTTCCCGGAAGCATCTGGAAGGAGAAAGGGCGGTGCCTCTGAAGGAGTAGGTCACTGGGTCACGGTCGCCATGCCAACCCAATGGGAGTAGGTCAAGCATGCGATGGCTGCTGTCCATTTTGGCACTTGCTGCGCTAAATAGAAGTTCCGCCGGGTGTGCCAGCCTTCTATGAGACGCTTACCAGACCGTCTATAAACATTTCTGGTTGGGGACTTGGTTGATTCTGGCTGTGATCGTCGTCCTGACTGCGACGTTAAATAATTCCTGAAGAGTTGGGGGCGCTCTCAATATTCCTCCTGATCAGCCAGATCAACCGGGTGTAAGGCTCGTTCCGTACGAGGGTAAATAAGAGTGGACTGGCTGGCTTGCTCGGCGACAACTTGGGCACAGGGGTGGGCCGAAATACACACGAAGACATTGCCTGCTCAATGATGCTGTTCGGTATGTTGGATTGAGGGGAGGGTAGGTTCTAATAGGTGCTCAACTGAATACACAACCATACCCACTCATCATACACCTGCAACATGGTCTTTTTGTATTTTGATTAGTTGGTGGACAGACTGCTAACACCTCACAGACAGAATTAGATTAGGACTGTTGTATGCTACCATAGCCAGTTCAGCCTAATGCTGTTGTAAGTGAACCAATCAGAGTACATCTAGACTATGTAAACAATCTGTTGTGAATGTTGTAGACATGCCACTTGATCGGTACAATAGGGAACCTGCCGGACACAACTATTTTTAGAAAATTAGGTGCCGGTCAGACACATGCTGTGGTAGGACTCCACTAGGGGGTTCTAGTGCAAACAATGCTTGCCTAATTCATGAACGGGTCAGACGTCGATGAGGAGAGAGTTGACGATGCTAGACTAACACGTGCAAGGTCACGTAGGATCCCGCACGTGTTCCAGGCCCTACAACCGGAAGACGAAAGACGCATTCGTGCCGAACGCAGAGCCCGTGCTCTCGCAGCATCGAGAGAGGCAGCAAACGTTGCAGCTAGGGAACAGGCTGCAGCAGCAACCAAGGCAACAGCCATGTCTTCTGCAGCAGCATCCTCCACTGCATCTTCTGTTGTCTCCTCGTCTGGACCCCAGTTGGGAATGCCAACAGGGTCCGCGGGCACTTCCAGTTCAGTAGGATCACGTCAGTCTACAAGTCAAATGGCGGGCTCGCAGTTCAGCCCGTTGACTCCTCGCGAAAGGGAGCTAAGGGAGCTCCAACAGGTCGAAAGGATCCGTGAACGATTAGAGAGGGAACTGAAACAAACTACCGACAGAGAAAGGGAGATTAAAAATAGAGCAGTCAGGCTTGATACTTTAGAGGCTGACAAGGCTGAGTTAGAGGGCTTGGATGACTCTAGAATGAATGAGCCCATGAAAGTGTTGAGAAACAACATGCTGTCGCTGCATGCGCACGTGGACAGCAGGTTGGACTTTATGCAGAGCACTCTAGACCAGATCCTAAACGCTTTGACAAGGCCAGGATTTAGGCCACCAGCACAATCGTCGTTGCCGTTATCGGCGATGTCAGGCCCCTTTCCAGTTCAAGCTGGTACACAACCAAGTGGTACGTCTGCAGCAGTCGCACAGACTGTTGCATCTTCTTCTTCGGGTCCAGCGGTGGGAGCTACACCACCGCAACAACCTGTTCAGCAATCTGGACAGCCGCAGGGTCAATGGTATCCTAAGACCCCAATGAAACCGCCTCTTGCCTTTTCAGGCGAGAGAAAGGACGAAGAACTCAACACATGGTTGAGGACCGTCCCGGTTTGGGTGAAGGCAAAGAGGACCTTGCCTGAGGATGAAGTGGTAATTGCTGCATCTTACCTCGAGGGTAAGGCAGCCAAATGGCTAGATGGTGTAGTTGTGAAGGCAGGGTACGGGCGACGCATGGCGGACTGGGCTAAGCCATTAACGTTAGACCAGTTCATGGAAATGGTTGAAGCTCGATGGCATAATCCACAGGAGGCACAAAGAGCCACTGATGCGATTAACAAACTGGACCAACGAAAGTTCAAGTCGGTCAGAGAGCTTACGACTACCGTTGAGAGCCTGATCCTCGTCCCTAGCATCAACTATAATGACCAGTTCCTGTTAACAACCTTTGTTAAATGTCTTCCTGAGAGCATCAGGAACTTGCTGGCCAGCGAGGCACGCCTCGAGTACCATTTATTTGAGACATTGTCTAGGAAAGCCTTAGATCTGGAGGCCACACTAGGCAATTCTCAACCCACTCAGACTGACACAAAGAAGAAGAAAAGTCCTCAGGAGTGGAAGAAGAAGGGGGCTAAGTTGATGATGGTGGAGTCCGATGGGACTCAAACTGAGATCGACGAGCTCACTGACCTGATGGACTATACAGAGTTTGACGGCGAGGAGGTAGTTGAGGGTAGCACCCTCGCCGCGGTAGTCAAGACTAAGGCAGGTGGCCGAGGGAAGGGCCAACCTAGGAGTCAAGGGAAGGCCACCACCAATCAGTCCAAAATGGCTGAATGGGTGAAGGCAGGTCTTGATCAAGACGTGTGGCGTGACCACCGAGTGCATGGCGCTTGTATCAACTGCGGGGAATACGGTCTCTCGCAGTACAAGTGCCAGAACGCAAAGGGTACGTTAAAGATACCTCCAAAGATGGGGGCATCTTATTCCCAAGCTTCTAGCTCGGGAAACGCGCGAGGCCAGTGGAAGTTTTAGCGGCTTCTACTCAAGATGACGTGGGCTTGATACCCTCCCCACTTCATGACAAGGCCAAAGCTAATGACTCCTTAGCCATCCCGCAGACACATCTAGACCAAACTATGCTTTGTACGTTAGATGTGTCTGAGGCCTTAGAAGACTGAGAAGGTGAGTGGTCAAACAAGGACCCTCGCGAGTCTTGGGTGGCACTCAAGAAAGGTCCTAGAGGGGAACATTTCGTGGTGGAAGTGGATGTAGGAGGCCGCAAATGTGGTGCCTTCATAGACATCGGATCCACGCGGAATTACGTAAGTCGCGACTGTTTGGAAAGGCTGCACCTACAGGACCGGGTACGGCACCTTAGTAGACCTATAGCATCTACTTTGGCCAACAAGGAGCGCATGATAGTAACAGACTATATCAACGACGTAGTTTGTACCTTCTCCTATGGAGGAGGCGAACTTAATCATAAGATTTCGTTCTTGGTTAGCGACGACTTACCATTCGACATGTTGTAAAGCATGTACTACCTCGAAGTTGCTAAGCCCCAGTTCGACTGGGATAAGAAGGTGCTCAAGCATAAGTTGCCCGATGGCCGAACTGTCTAATTGACTAAGTTCAAGGCCAGTAGCATTATAGATACCTATGGCTGCTTGTGTGCATCAACGTTCTACAATTACTACAAGCAAAACCAAGAGGAAGGTATGTACCTTGTGTATGTCTCTGAGAAAGGGGAGGTCGTTAAAACACCCCCAGAGATAGAACGTGTCATTACTAAGTTCCCTGATCTGTTCGAAGAGCCTACAGGGGTCGTAGAAAGGGAAGTTGTCCACGCTATAGAAATCATTCCAGGGAGTAAAACCCCAAAGGGAAGGATCTATAGGATGGCTCCCGCCGAGTTAGATGAACTCAGGCAACAACTGAAAGAGCTGACAGAGAAAGGATGGATTCGGCCTAGTACTTCCCCTTACGGATCACCCGTTCTATTCGTACCAAAGAAGGGGGGTACATTGAGGATGTGCATTGACTATAGAGACCTCAATGCCATCACTGTGAAGAACGCAGAGCCTCTACCTCGCATAGACGACCTATTGGATAGGGTGCAGGGATGCAATAAGACTTGAAATCTGGATATCATCAGATCGCAATAAGACCTGAGGACCAACACAAGACAGCCTTTCAGACCAGATACAGTCTGTATGAGTTTGTAGTGATGCCCTTTGGTCTTTGCAATGCGCCGGGTACATTCCAGCACGCTATGAATCGGATCTTCCATGACCATTTAGATAAGTTTGTCGTGGTATACCTTGACGACATTCTGATCTTTAGCAAGTCTGCCGAGGAGCACGCACAGCACGTTGAGATTGTACTTTCACTCCTGCGACAGCACAAGTATAAGGTCAACTTAGAGAAGTGTGAGTTTGGTCGCACTAAGATACTATACTTGGGTCATGAAGTATCCGCGGAGGGGATTAGGCCGGAAGATGCGAAGGTGGCTAGTATTCGAGACTGGCCACGACCTTAGACAGTCACTGAGGTCAGATCATTCTTAGGAATGTGCGGCTACTATAGGAACTTCGTTAAGAACTATTCTACATTCGCCTCTTCTTTGACTGATCGAACTCGACTTGACACGCCGTGAGACTGGAGTGATGAGTGCGAGGGTGCTTTCAAGAGATTGAAGCATGCACTCATGAATCATGAGGTTCTCATGGTTCCCGATCCTCAGAAGTCATTCATAGTGACCACGGACGCAAGCCAATACGGCATTGGTGCAGTGCTGGCTCAGCAGGATGGGAAGAAGTTGAGACCGATTGAGTACATGAGCAAGAAGATGCCATCAAAGAGGTTGGCAAAGTCCACCTACGAAAGGGAACTCTATGCTCTATATAAAGCACTTGTCCATTGGAGACACTTCCTATTGGGAAGGTTCTTCTATCTGAGGACTGATCATCAGACCCTCAAATGGATCAAGACTCAACCGGCTCTTTCTGACACACTCAAGCGATGGATTGAGGTCATAGACCAATATGACTTCAAGCTTGAGTACCTGAAGGGAGAGTATAACAAGGTTGCTGATGCGCTATCACGTAGAACAGACTACCTAGGTGCGCTAGTTTCTGACTTTGGCGTATCTGAAGAAGTAACTCAATCATTGGTGGGAGCCTATCAGGAAGACCCTGTCACGATGGACATCATGTGCAAACTTAAGGCAAAAGACAAGGCCACGGAAAGTGAGTTTGTGATGGTGGACGGGTTACTCTATCTTGATAAGGCCGGAATAAAAAGATTAGTAGTTCCATCTAGTGAGCGATTGCGTAGTTTGTTTTTAGGCGAATGTCATGACGCAACTGGGCACTTTGGGTACAAGAAGACGAGTGCTAACCTAGTACAACGATTTTGGTGGCCAGGAATGTTTGATGACGCAAAGAAGTATGTAGAGACCTGTCAGGTCTGTCAGCGGGACAAGCCGCAAACTCAAGCACCGCTTGGGTTGTTGAAGCCTTTGCCTATTCCTGCTGGTCCAGGACAGAGTGTTTCCATGGATTTCATGGACACCCTGGTGACTAGTAAGAGTGGCAAGAGGCACATCTTCATCATCATCGATCGATTCACCAAGTACACTAGGCTTGCAAATACACAAGAATCCCAAAATCAACCCACTAGGAATCGAACCTAAGACCTTCCACCAAAGAGGCGGAACACTTAACCAATTGGAAAAGTGAGCTGGGATGAAAGTGAAGCCCCT